GGCGACGTGCCCAGTTACGCCGGGCTCTTCGCCCGCTTGGCCTGGCACTGCTCGGGAAGCTTCCGCCTGATCAACGACACGCACGCTGCCGGGGGTTGCGAGGGCGCGCGGCAGCGCCACTGGCCGGAGAACGAGTGGCGCGACAACACCAACTTGGACAAGGCCAGGGGGCTCTTGGCCGAAGTGAAGCTCCAGTTTGGTGACGTCAGCTGGTCCGACCTCATGACCTTCGCGGGCACGGCAGCGATCAAGTTGAGCGGCGGCCCGGCCAAGAAGTTCTGCTTCGGGCGGATGGACGATGTGAACGGCGATCGCTCCATCCCACTGGGCGTAGAGGGTGTGACCCAGTGCCGCGGCAGCAAGTTCTGCAAGTCCGACGCCGAGTGCCCGAACGCCTTCCGGTGGCCGGAACAGAACGACACAGACCATGCGCGCTGCAACATCGAGCAGCCCAAGCATCGACTCCAGGCCAGCCACTCCGTCGGCCTGATCTACGTCTACCCCGAGGGGCCGGAGCTCAAGAGTACGGCTGACGGCTACAACTCTAACTTGGTACACAACCGCTCGCCGAAGCTCAGTGCCCTAGCACCTTGCCTGCACGAAATCTGTGTTTGCGCATAGGAGCAGGAGAGCCCTCTATGTGCCAGGAGGTCCGAGACACCTTCCGTGATCGGATGGGCTGGACCGACCGCGAAACCGTGGCCCTCATCGGCGGCGGTCACACATTGGGCCGAACCCACGGCAACTGCCACTTGGACGTTAGGTTGTCAGCGTCGCACCACCTGCTTTCTGCTGTAGGACTGCTGTATAGCAAAGGGCACGACCTGACAAATGTTGCTCTTCGCGCTCATGACTGCCTTGCAAGCGTCGGTCCCTTGCAACGAATTCCGAGGCAACCTCACCGGCACCAAGTGGGCACAGGCTCCTTACAACAACGTGGGACCCTACTTCGAGGCAGCGCGTCTTTGCGATCGTGACCGGGGTGCAGAGAACACGCAAAGGTGATCTTTCTGTAGCTGCAAGTTCTTGCAAACCGTCTATACATGAAATCCAAGGTGGCAGATTCCCTAATCCAGCCTTATTTGGATTGTTGGTGTGATGGGTTGATCAGTTGACTGACTGAATCACTGACTGCTTGCCTGCCTGCCAGCCTGCCTGATTGATTGATTGGTTGGTTGGTTGAGGGAGGGGATGATAGGTAGACCAATTTGATGGGTGGGTGCATGAGTGAATGGGTGGATCAGTGGATGGGTTGATGGGTGGATGGATGGAGGGATAGATGGATGCATGGGTTGATGGATTGATGGGTGGATAGATGGGTAGCTAGATAGGACAGACAGGTAGACAGGTACTAGGTCAACCTCAAGAGAGCAGCACAATCGGATTCATTGTCCTTCGGATTCATTTTGGGATGCCTTCCAGACCCCATGTACGCTGCAGGCCACACCAGGCAGCCTCCGGGGACCGACGGATGGTACCTGTGGCACCGGCGTGGAGGTCGCTTGGGAATTTGGGGCGTCAAAGTTCGCAACCACGGTCTCAGAAATGTGTTTGACAGTGTGTGCCGAGCTGCTCGCATGCACAAGCCGGCGCAAAACCTAACAGCAAAGACATATCGCCACAGCTTCGCTGTCGGAGGGTTTGCATGCCAGACACGCCAGGCGGGCCGTGGCAAGAACACCGTGTCCTCTGGCTTCGAGGGCCCTTGGACCCGTGGCTCGGACCGCTCGGAGCAACACCGAAAGTTCTTTCTTCGTTGGCAGGATCTCGCTTGTAGTTGTAGATGGCGGAAGGGTTGAGAAATGGGACGTACGACGCCAGCAGGGAATCGTGTGGGTGTCAGCTTGCACAACTTGAAGAGGGCTTCACAGAACGCTCGTCTGTTGTTACAGCCGCTGAGGTAGCCCGTCCCGCTGGAACTATGACTTCTTCGATGCTCTGCTGTCGGAAGAGTGGGTGCCTGCAAAGAGCCCGCAACCTGCCCGCACCTGCCGCACTTGTTCTCGTAGGTAGGGCTTTAGGTCATCGGTCGAGGCAAGTTCTGAGAGCATGGGAACCATCTCGAGAGACTTCACATGGCATTCACGACCAAAGCAAGCCCGGGCTTAGGTATGGTGCTGACCAGTGGCACACCAGGAACGAGACCAGCAAGTTTGCCCGGACCATGCGCCTGACCTCGGATGTCTCCCTGGTTGCGGACAAAATCTACCGCCCGATCGTCGAGGAGTACGCCGCCGACCATGCCCAGTTCGACGCGGACTTCGCCGATGCTTGGTTCAAGCTGGTGCACCGTTCGGAGGACCATCCGCACAAGGACGACCTGGAGAAGGACGCTGGCGTTTGCACCAGCTTTGAGTTCAC